TATATATATATATAAAATACACACACACATACTTGGAATAACAATAACCTAATTTAAATACAACACCAAGACAAAAATCTCCTAAAGGAGGCAGTGGATGTGCAGCAGCAGCTATATAAGTGCTAGGAGCTGTGTGGTGATTTAGGGCTGGGCCGGCCACTAAATACTGGACAGATGCTCTCTATTACCCTCTCTTCCTCCCCAGAAGGGAAGAGAAGAGAGAATAAGGGAGAGAGACTACGGGATGGAAAATAAAACTGACAGATTTAGTTAAACAATAATACTAATACTACAGGATAATAATGTAAATAGGAAAATAATGAAATATATACAGAACCAATATAAAATCCTCCCCCCGCCCCCTCAAGTGACGATTACGTCACCAGAGGCTCTGCAGAGCAGGGCACTGAATAAGTCCCAGACCAGACGCAGCAGCAGGTGGGAGCAGGATGTAGGAATTGGTTTCAGGAACACACAAATCAAGATCAGAGGCAGATGAACTAGCAGAGTTCTGCTTGGACTTTGGCCATCGCAGGAGCAGAAGAGCAAGAGCAGGAAGGAGTTGTCGAGACCCTTGTGATCCCTCAGTTTTATACTGAGTATGACGTATGTGGGATGGAATACCTAGTTGGTAGTTTTTGGGTCCACTCTTCCCTGCAGGTGTGGATACGGCATCCATAGTGAGACAGTGGCCTTGTTATGTTTACTTAACATACAAGCATTATCACTTGTAGACGTGAACACTGTCTGGATAAACATGCTGTTAATTTCGGCAGGTATAGCTGCTTAGAAGAGACTGAGCTGAAAGGCAAAATCACTAAATGGAAAATCAGTTCTATTTAGCTCAAACCAGGACAGAGCTGTAGCAAAGGATCCAATAGAGAAGGTGAGGCGAAAACAGAGAGCCTGGAAACAGTTTTTAAATCTTCACAAGCTGCCACCTGTGCAAAATCACTGCTAAACAAAGGAGTATAAACATAGGAGATTCAACCTGAACATAAGGAAATTTTTTTTCACTATGAGGGTTACAGAGCACTGGACCAGGCTGCCCAGAGAGGCTGTGGACTCTCCTTCTCTGGAGACATTCAAAACCTGCCTGGATGCGTTCCTATGTGACCTGGTCTGAGTGATCCTGCTCTGGCAGGGGGGTTGGACTGGATGATCTTTCGAGGTCTCTTCCAGCTCCTAATATTTGTGATTCTGTGAGCTTCTCTGAGGAGCAAAGTAGTAAAACTACACAGTGGTGTAACTCCAGTGGGACCCCTGTGTCTTTTTGGAGGGCCAGGTTAGGAATAGCAGCAAAGTACTTATTGGCATTGCCACAGATGCATTAAAATGCCCCGGATTTTTTGGTTTTGAGGACCTCTTTCTCTGGTGCATGGAGCTGGGGGTGCAGCAAGACAGCCTGCCTGTTTTGCTTCTAGGTGGAGTATGTCTTCACGGACAAAACAGGGACCCTGACAGAGAACAGCATGGAGTTCATTGAGTGCTGCATAGACGGGCATAAGTACAAAGACTGCATTTCGGAGGTGGATGGCTTTTCTCAGACTGATGGACCTCTAAAATATTATGGCAAAGCAGAAAAGGTAAGAAATCTCCATGTTGATGACTGTTAGTTTTGTGGCCGGCTCCTGGCTGGGTAAATACAGCAGAAGCTGGGAGAGGCTGTTGGTTTTTTGTTTTAAAATATGCGTTCACAAAAATCACAACTAACTGTTTTGAGGTGGGTTTTGTGCACAGCATTAAATTGGTAACGAGACTTCCTCACTCCTGCCTAGAGCCGTGAGGAGCTGTTCCTGCGAGCCCTCTGTCTGTGCCACACCGTTCAGATCAAGGAAGCAGACCAGGTGGATGGACTGATAGGACATCCAGAACGCAAATACACCTATATCTCCTCTTCGCCAGATGAAATTGCTTTGGTGAAAGGTGCAGAAAAGTAAGAATATGAAGGTGTTGGGTTTTTAATTCCCTCTCTCCTGGTGGAAGGGTTTCAAGAGCTCCCAGTAAAAGGGGATGCTCTGCAAAGAGCCTTTTCTGGGCAGCTTCTCAGGAAGCTATGGTTTGTGTTTGCTGCTGAGAGAAGCCCCAAGGTGCTACAGTGCCCAGCTGCAGCAGAGGCTCCTTTGCTGGAGCCTCCATGGCCATGTGTTTTAATCCCCAAGAAGGGGGAACCAATTACCATGTGCCTCTTGCAGTCAAACTGCTTCCTTGGTGTGCAGTGGTAAAATAATACGATGGGTTACTTTTCTCAAACTCACATTTGAATCCTGCTG